CATGAAATAAAGTCTATATTATTTTTCTTCAAACATCTTTCAAGAAGTTTTGACATTTTTACTTAGCAAATAAATTTTAATGAAATGTTGTGGTCGTCAAATATTTTTATGACGTCTGGGAAACTATATTTTAAGTTCAACGTTTCACCTCCTTTCATAACGTATATCTTGTCAATGATATTATATGAAACACCACAGCAAGCAATGTCGGGTTCTATTTCTTTGATGTTTATATCGTCTGCCTCTGTCAAAAGTTTCAATAGTTCTTTCAAAACTTCATGAGGTGCAATGACATATGAGTTCACTTTTACAGGGTTGTGTTCGACCAAGTTTAACATTATACCTAAAGCTTGACAAATCTTCTCCTGAGTTTTAAGTTTGTCTTTAAGTTGTTGGTAGTCGTTTCGAATATCTGCAACAGAACTTAACTCTCTGCTAACTTCAGGTATGTTGGTTGTTCTTTTACAGGAACTATTGTTATACCATCTTCGTCTTCGTATGGTTTCCCCACTTCAACATCTCTGTCTTTGACATTGACAACAACACTTTGACTGTTTGTTTGAGTTGGTGAATTTAACTTCACATCTGCCACCGCCATTAAACCTTTTGAAACACTTACGCTTCTATTTTTCGGAAATGACATTTTACTTCAAATAAAAAGATGGACGTATTTGAGTATCTCTTCGAATTGAAGCAGAACAAAGTTTACACACACAAACAATACAAATACATTGACAGAATAGTTCTTTACACAAACAATGGAAAATGTTATAGAATAGCAGTCTTTGCTGAACCAAAATATTTTCATAAAGCAAAGAAAGTTGGTATAACTGAAATGGTGAAAGTTCTTGAAGCAGACAAAAATATAACTTCAAAACTTACAGATATTTCTAAAGGAAAGTTTATAATACAATATTATGTCAAAACTGGCGTACTGTCAATATTTGACGGAGAGAAGTCAGTTCAAGAACAACTTACTGACCTGCTGCCAAAATCTGCTCGATGGAAGCTGTCGTTATACCAATCTGAGGAGCTCCAGCAGGTTTCATCGAACGAATCTTCAAAAGAGCATCTTCCGTGAAAAGTGCTATTGGTTTTGTAAACTTCTTTGCTCTCAGTTCATCTGGACCGTCTCTGTCACCAGTATATTGTATTTGAACTGTACCAACAGTTGAAATACCACCCATAAAGTCTTCTGAGTCAGCAAATGGAATGCCAAGCCAAAAGTTTGAACGGTCTCTATTTGTATATTGAGTTTTTTGACCTCCTGTATGGTCCATACTTTCACATATGGCATAATAGAACTTTGCATTTCAGGGTTAATGGTTGTTGTGAAGTTGTTGTTAAAGTTCATAGCATCTAATGTCAAGTTGTATGACCTCATATCCTCAACTGTAGAATATTCTTCTCTTGGATAATATTTGCCATCTATGTTTATATGATATTTAATACCGGGGTTGTAGAAACAAGAATAGTCATTTATAGTTCGTCTGAACAGTACAAACATAGTATCTGCATGTTTCATTGCAGTTGTTAAAGCAATATCTGTTCTTGCACCTGGGTCAGCACTTTGGTTTCCAACTTCACCTGCAAAGTCTTTGACAGATATTTGGTGTATAGGGAACATAAGTGGAACTGCAATATATTTGGCAGCTAAAGCATTTGAAATATCTGGGTCCAACATATAGACTGCAAGTCTGCTTTCTATTCTCTTGCATTCAAATTTTTCGCATGTGAACTTAACTGGGTCCCAAGCAGTTCCAGCAGCATTGAAATAATAGTTTACTTCAGTGTTGAGGTTTGAGAAACCAAAGTCTAAGTCTACCTTATCTTTGCAAAAGTCACAGAACTTGGCTCCACCAGTTCCAGCTACAGTAAGAGTGAATGGGTCTTGTGTTGGTGCAATGACTAAGTTATTTTTGCTTGGAGTAAGTTCAATAGAAATTTTTCCTGCCCAGTTTGGCAAGTATCTTAAAAACCTGAAGATGAGGAAAGATGACAAAGGAACTCTAAGTTTCAGTTTTACTTTAGTGGCAGCAGTTCCATCTGAACCAGAAAGGTTAACATAAACTCCTGGAACGTTAGGGTCAAGTCTTCTTATTTTCTCAATGGTTGCGTACTGGTCTGTTTGTTCTCTAGCTTGTGGTTGTACTGAGTTTCTCAAAGCGAACCATTCATAGTTTGCCCATGTTACTGTTTGAACTAAGTCAGAGTTAGAATATATCTTATATCCCATGAAAACTTCTGGAGCATATTGGTATCCGACATAGAAAATTCCATTGCAACCTTTCTTGTCAGACAACTTGGCAGAAGGTTTTATTTCAATGTCTTGTTCCACGTATAAGAATGAGTTGTCAATAGAAATTATATGAAACCTGTCGCAAGCAATATCTACTGTTGTTGAAGAACCTTCTCCAAACTCACCTACATTTCCATAAGAAACAGCAGTTGTATATTCGTAAGTTCCAGGAACTATTTCTGACCTTCTAATGGCATTGTCGCATTCGTTATACCATTCGGAAACATTTCCATTCATGGCATCCAAAACTGTTGGCGTTATATTCTGAGCGGCGTACATTTCATATGTGTAAAAATATAGAATAGTTGGATTTATGTGTCATAATAGAACCCACGTGGACCAAGCTTTACTTTCTTCCTGACTGAGTTTTTAACTCTTCTTTTTCCTTCATTGCCACTACTTTCACTAGATGAAGTTACTTCTTCACTACTTTCACTTTGTTCTACTCTTCTCTTCTTCTTGGTGTCGCTTTGGTAACTTGCCCTCTGCTTCAAGTTGTTGCATCTTTGCCTCATGTTCACCTAGTATGTTGTAAATTTCCCATGTCCTTTTTGCCTTTGGGCTCTGGTCGCCCATTCAGGTAACCTATATCCTAGAAAGATTTTGTCATAGTTTGTATTTGAGTCTTCGCGTATTGTTTGCATGACTCTTTCCTGAGTTTCCGGTTCAAGCTCTTCAAACAGAGCTTGTCCATATGGAATAAGCTCGTTTCCAAATATATGTTTTTGTAGCCATTCTGGTTTTCTTTCCATGTTACCAACTATATCTTTTGTGAATGGGAAAAGCTTTTACCCAAAGTTTCAGTCTTGCGTCATTTATTTCTGTAGTTTGTTTTATTTTGTCAAGGAACATGTTTTTCAATACTAACATTTCATTTGGGTACTGTCCATTTGAGTTTTCTTAAATATTCATCCCTTCTCAGTTCATTGTCTGCAAAGTAAGTTTTTATGACATTTTGTAAACTTTCGTTTGCAAGGTCATGTACAATAGGTTCTCTTCCTTCTCTCCCTAACTTTCTTTCTAAACTCTTCACCAAATATACACATCTCTATGTTCTGTGTGTTCTTTGAGATAAATGTTCTAGAACGTCAGGTGTTATATTTCCATCAGCCATGTTCATTTCATACTGGTCCAAAATATCTGCATGTTTCATATCTTTTCAATGGCATTAAAGCGCGCTTAAAATACAGCTATATCTGGTTCACCATTGACTTCCATTGCGTCTACAACTTCTTGGAATTGAGGTTGTAAGTTTATGAACACCTATCCGGGTTAGCTTTATGACCCCATCTCATTGTAGTTCCATAGTCTGCAGAAACAAAAAGTTAGGTTTGTTTCCATCTTGGTTAGGTTCTGAATGAACTTTAAACAATGTTTCATTTCTATATGTTTTGTTGAAATTTAACTTTTATTTTCACCGAGTTCATCCGAAGATTGAACGTTAAATGCTCGTAAGTAAAAAGGGTTGTTGTATTTGTGTACATTTTCTTTCAGTACTTCCATCTATGCTGAATATTTTCATCTTGGTGTTGGAGTCTTTTGTATGTCGGAAAACATTTTTCGTATTCTTCTACTATGTCAGCCGAATTTTTCTTAGACTCTTGGAAGATTCCATATTCTCCGCATACATTCGTTGAGGGTCAAGATTTTTCGGCTGTTCCAAATTTCATCTAGTTCTGTGAAGTTAGTTTCCAAAGGAGGACTTGTTCGTTTCCTTCAGGCTCTTCTAGCTGTTGTTGCTGAACTATTTCTTCCATGTCTGGTTGTATCTGAACTTCTTCCTGTGGAGTTTCTTGTACCTCATCTGCTGGCATTTCATATATTCCGAGACCGTTTTTAACAAGTTCCCTATCTAAGTCATCCGGACTCATAAACCTTTCTTCTTTCGTTCCGTCTCTATTTTTTACGCGTTTCATGAAGAGAGTTGAATTGTCATTTACTCTGACACACAATATCTCGGAGTAAATTCAGTCATGTCATTTGGATGATATGCTATTAAATCATATCCCTTAGCGAGCTTGTATTTTCCAGGTTTGAAATTATATCCCATTTGGTGCTGAGCCATAAAGCTAAATAGGTTCGGGTCAGTATTTCCTTCCTTGAACTTTCTAATAGCTTCTTTATATCTGTCACTAAAGTCAAGAGTATCTGGGTAACCATAGTCTTCTTTAAGCATTTTTAAGAAATCTTGGTTTCCTTGTTCTGTTTGTGGTTGCTGTGCTGGTTGTTGTTGTGCTGGTTGTGGAGGTGGTTGTTGTGTTGGTTGTGGAGGTGGTTGCTGTGCTGGTTGTTGTTGTGTTGGTTGTTGTTGTTGTGCTGGTTGTTGTTGTTGTGTTGGTTTTGGTGCATGCCTGTGTCTGTGTCCATGTGACGATGTAAATGTTTTAGGTAGTCCTGGTGCAGGTGCTTCTCTTGGAGGGTTTGGTGGTATATAAATTCCACCAGCTGGCACATATGTTCCATCTGCAGCATAATGTCCTACTTGACTTTTCGTTTTTAAGAAAGCATTTACTAGGTCTGTTTTGGTCTGTTGTAACTCTTTTTCTTGACTTTCCACAACAGTTGCTCTAACGGCGTCATAGGCACTTTGAACTGCCTGTCTCGTTGCTGCATCTGTTATTTTCGTCATATTTTGTGCTACTTCTTTTAACTCTTTGTCGAAACCTTCAGACTTCAGTTTCTTTCCAGATGAGAAGTCGTTCACTAGTTTCACCTTACTATGAAGAGCTTCGAAGGCGTTCTTAAAGTCAGCATTTGTTAAAGCTTCATTTGAACTGTCTTCATCCGCTTGTATTTTTGTCCTTATTGACCCTATAAGCTGGGCTGCTTTAGCGTTGGCTTGGGCATCTAACCAGTCATTGTTAGCTTTTATATATTCTGCGCTTTTCATTGCCTTTTGCATGGCTGCGTCGTTATTTTTACTTTCTTGTGCTAAGTTTTCATACTGTACGGTTTGGTTTTGCAACTGTAAAAGTTTTTCTGCCTTTACATTTGCTTCAACTTCTTTTTTATACTCATCGCTATCCATATATGTCTTCAGGGCTTTTTGTTTTATCTCTTCATCTTTCAGTACTTTATATTGAGTAGTATGGTTTTTCAAATTTACAACATCTTGTTCCATTTTTGCTACTTCTGCTGCTTTTTCTGACACTTTTTTCGCATATTCCTCTGTACTTAGTTCTTTCAGTTGTTCTTCTTTCTTCTTTTTCTCTACGTTTAACTCATTGAGTTTCTTTGTGTGTCTGTCATATTCTAGTTTCTTTTCGTTTTCACCTATTTGCTTCTGTATGTCTATGTTTGACTTTTTGACATCTGCTATTTGATTTTTGAGTGAACTCAAATTCATTTGACTTTGAGGGTTATAGGCTGTTCCGTCTGCGGCTCCACCATAGCCTACCATTTTCGCTAAAAGTGCCGCTCTTAAACCTCCACTCTGTGCACCAAAAACTCGGTTTAAGAGCATAGGATTGTTTGACATTTGTTGCAACATAGTGGGGTCATTCAGCATTTGTTGTTGCAACTGTTGTTGTGGTGTTAGTCTTACTATTGGATGTTTCAATGCTCTCTTCCTCTTACGTATATTCTTACGTATCTTACGTGGCATTTTAAGTGAAGTAAAAAAGAGGCTTTTGACAGATGTTTATATGACACTTTCTCCGGTTTATAGGACCTCTCTCATATTCTATCTTATCGTATCTAAACTCATAGTCATGTATGTCCTCTAACCATCTCATAACGGTTTCCAAACCACTTTTATCGGATGTAAAGTAAAAACATGGATGGTTATGTAAAACGTCTAAAGTTTCTAAAGAGTCTCTCAAAGTATACTTCCTTGGAACGCCCGTAACTTTACTGTAGCGACGATAGACCCTTACTTGTCCGGACATAGTTATACTATTTTGAGTCCTCTACCGAAAAGTCAACAGCAACGACTTTCAAAAATTTTAAGGGCTAGAAGGCACGAAGTGCCTGGGAAGCCCCCTTCACCCAAAAAAAACCTCATTTTATACCTCATTGCATACTAAACATCTTCGGGGCTAGAGGGCACGAAGTGCCTGGAGGCCCCACTACCTTTTTTTTTTTTTTTTTTTTTTTTTTTTTTTTTTTTTATATGATAAATCATTGATGCTTCATATTTGATTTAAATAATTTTTCATATGTTTACAATTTGAGTTAAATTATTATACAAATTTATTCTGACTTTTCAGAGAATTGAGCTGAGGCTCAATTCTCTGAAAAGTCAGAGTAAATTTGTCGTATACTCTATACTTTCAATAATTAGCTTGATTTTAAGGGAACCTTAAAATCGAGCATTGAAAAGTCAGAGTATACTTGAAATTTTATTGCGTCATCAATGATTATTTTCTAATATTTGATTTAAATAAATTTGAAAGTGATTTAAACATATGACGCTGGAACTAATTTTTCAGATTAAAATAATCGTCATGCAATAAATTCAATTCCAAAAGTTAATAATTTGAATAAAAACATATCAAATATATTTTTTGTCTTATTTAAATTCAAAAGTTGATAAATATGACGCAAACTGGCGTCATACTTGCGCCATGCTATATTTCTTCTGTTTTAAAGCTACTGCAGCTTCAAGAAGCGCATTTGCTTCCTGCAATAGGGGAATGTTAAGGGTCCACTGTAAAAATTGAAAGTCTCTCAAAATTGAGAGGCGATTTGCAAATAATCATTATCGTCTTTTTTCGAAAATCCACTTTTCCTAGTGTTCTGATTAATATTTTGTGAATGTAACAATAAAGTATATGTTTTAGTAAGATGATAATACATTCTATCACTTCAAATCACATAAAAATTGCAAAATCAGCGAGTTTTATAAGAACATGATTTTTTCGAATTTTTTCGCTTCTGGATGCGTGTTTTGAAAAATAGATATTTTCGAATTTTGATTTTAATTTAAGTATAAATTTTATATTAGGAATTTTTTTGACCTATTTCCAATCATTAATTCCTAAGTTTTTCTAGGAATTTAATTGAGAAGAAATTAGGAAATTCGCTTTAATGCCATTACATCCTAATATTGTGATGCATGTAGTTTATATTTATTGAGGCTAATGCCGGAATATCGTGCATTTTATAAAAAATTCAAAGAATTGACAATTGGATAGCACAAATTTAATTCTCTAGACAAAGTATTATTGTTTATATATTCAAAGCATTATCCTTCGTTTTGAAATGTTAGTAGTAGGATAGGAAGGGTTGTGTGACTTTTTTTGTAAACGTAAGAATTCATACAATATCGAGCGATTTTGTATCATTTTTTTTAACATATGAAGTAAAAAATGTATGATTCTTACGGTTTTTATTCTTACGTTTTTGAATAAATCAAGATTTAAATAATTTTCAAAATTGTAAGACATTTACACTCAGCCATACATAATGAAATAAAAAATAAACACATTAAAAATTAACATTAATTTTAAAATAATTTATTTTTTATCTTTTATAAAAGAAGCTATATATAGATGATGTCAGATATTCCGCGATTAATTAAACATTGTTTAAATCCTGAATGGAATCAATGGAGTCATAATCAAAGACCTCATAAACGAGAAAAAGAAATTAGAAATAATTATTTTCATGAATGAAAAATAAACTTTAAACATTCATGTCTCAGAATCAACATTGAACTTTAAGAAACTAATGATTATTTGAATTTATGAAATCAATTATTTGATTCATTCTTTCTTCAATCTCTTCTATTCTTTTTGTTAAATCATCTATTTTCATTAATGAGGTGATTCTTGATTGAGGAATAGATTTCAAACTAACCACCCCTTTTATTTTTGAAATCTTGAATCCATCAACTTTAAACATTTTATTCAATTTACACGTTGTCAATTCTTCAAATAATTTTTTATTATTAGCATAATAGTCATTAAATTCTTCAACAGATGAAAAAATTTTTATTTCAGTAATTGGTTTAACAACGTTTATTTTTTGTTGAACATCTTTACTTTCATTTATTTCTTCCTCCTCTGTTTCATTTATTTTTAAAATTGGTTTCATTTATCATTAAATAAAAATTAGAATATAAGTGATGAAATATATTTTTTAATTAATATTAAATCAACTATGGCGGCAGGATTCTTTAAAAAATTATGGGATGGAATTAAGAAAGCTGCGGGTTGGGTTTATAAAAAGATTATTAAACCTGTAGCAAACTTTTTGGCACCAGTAGCGAAAACGGCAGGAACTATCATAGGTGGAGTATTAGGTACTAAAGCAGGTAATCCGGCGATGGGAGCACAAGCAGGTAACGCAATTGGTGGAATTGCTGAAGGAATACTTAATAAAATAGGGGGTAGATAGTGGAAAAATAAATATTATTTTTATCTTAGTATCGGTTGAAGTCTTTGATAAACTTTTTCTCCTTTATTTAATATTTCTCTTATTGGGGCGGCTTTTGGTGTTATTGATTCAGCAACGTCACTAATTGCTTCTTTATTCTTAAATATCCAATGCTCCTTTCTTCATTGTTTCCCAAACTTTATGCGCTCCTCTTTTTACTTTATCCCATAATTTTTAAAGAATCCTGCAGCCATAGTTGATTATTTCATTAAAATTAAAAATTCATTTTCATCTTTTAATTTTGATTTTTTATTTAATAATAAATGACGACTAACTATTTGGTGCCAAACACTAAACCGATTAATGGAAATGTGTTTCATTCATTCGAAAAGATAAATGAAATATTCGCAAAGAATGACGGTAGAAGATATTATAGAGAACTTGAAAGTTCATGCTATGACTCTGATGCTCCATATTTTGATGATAAACAAACTCATTTAAGAATTACAAATCCGGCTCATGATGTGAATCAATTAGGTGACACATATATTAAACGCAAAGTTAAAGCAACTCTAGTTTCAAATAAAGCTTTCACATGTGATGCCGCTTTTAAATGCATGCGTTTATTCGTTGGTTACAAATCATCAAATCAAAGCTTTAAACAATTAGAAGTAGAAACCGAAAGAGGTGATGCTGGTTATCTTCAGATGGATTGTGCCCGTGAATCTTTCGCATTTGCAACATATAAACCAAAATCAGAAAGGAAAGTTAAAAAGTTTGTTCATTCGTTATATAATAATGTTCAAAAATATGATAACTCAGTATGTGGTAAATATATTGACCCTTCAGAAGTTTTCAAGAAAGCAAATGAAGAAGTTGATGTCACTTTTGATATGATTATTCCGGTAAATGATTTGTTAGCATTTCAGGCGTTCGATGATTATCCTAAATCATTTGGTGAAATCATTCTTAAATATTATGTTTTCAGGGATACTTTAGTATTTTGTCAGGTTGACCCGTTAAGAGTTGCTGATTTACAAAATTACGTTTATGAAAAGATAACTGATGGAAATATGAAAAGATTATGAATCATGTTTATAAATATGATCGCAAATTCCAACAAATCGGACTTCCTGCCAAATTAATTACAAGCTTAGCCGCTACATCTGCTGACGCAAAAGTTGATAACGTTATTATTTCATGCACAAAGATGGAAGTTTTAGAGGATAAATGCATTACACCAGGATACGGTTTAATTGAAGAATCAGTTAAAGCAATACCACGTTTATTCAGTAAGGAAGATCCATTCATGATTCCAGCTCAACATATTGACGTTCGTTCACTAAATGGAGGTTGCATCACTCCTGAAGGTATTAGCTCAGATTTCTCATACGCTCTTCATAATGTTACAGATGTTGTGTTAGCATTTCCGAAGAATGCAATGCAAAAACAGTTTTAGAAAATCCAATGCTTCGAGGTCTTCAGGTCACTATAGATTCCAGAAACTTCCCGATCAAGCGATGACCACAGTGGGCGACATATTCTTTACACGTATGCTTCAAGCTTCTGATTTAGATGGAGTGAATGAATGCACAGAAGAATACGAGGACTCATTAACGAGACACTGAATGATGATAATGGCACGCCATTAGCTAGAACATGGAAAGACCAAACTTCATTCTTATGCACTATTCCAGTTCAACGTGATGGAGCGGGTATATTCTTTGATGGATTAGAAACTTTCAACTCACAAGTTACAGTACAAGTGAAAGCTTATCCAATCATTCAGGGTGTAAATGACACTTACTGTTCAAAGGTGACAAATCCTCCTCAGGTTTGGTTTACTAGGACTACATATTGGACATGGACACCGGATGAAGGTTTGAAATATCATCCAACAGGTACACCACCACAGTATAGAAGTTCATATGATGAAATATGATGAATAGAAATGTTTAAAATTATAAATTTATTTTTGATTAAATGGATTTAAATTCATCCACCCCTTATGAAGAATTAGCAGGAGTATATAATACATACGTAGATGATATGATTAATGAAGCATTGAGTGATAATAGAAAT